CCTCCGATACCCCATGCCCCATACCCTCTCCCCAACACACACACACAAACGCGCGCGCGCGCGCGCGCGCACACACCCACCCACACACGCACATACACATACACCAACCAATCATCCGTCCCCACCCCCGGGGCCAACGCTCTCCTCCTCCTCCTCCTATTCCTCCTCCTCATCCTTCTCCTCCTCCTCTTCCTCCACCACCGCCAACGTGCCATCACCATCGAGTCCGACGTGGCTTTCCGGGCTTTCCGCGAAAGCGATTTGCCGTCTCCAAAGGCAGCCTTTGTTTACACTTCCGCGAAATCTTCGTCGTTTTGTTCCGTCGACATTAGAGCTTCGGACTGCTTTCACTTTTTCCAAAGATAGACTGACTGAGAAGGTCGGTGGTTGTCCTTCACCCAACGGGGGATATTTCGTTTTTTATTTTGACACAAATTTTGTCTTACTCGAGAGCACTGAAACAGTTGGAAAATTCTGTATCTACGCGTGAAAAGTCTCATTTACGAAAGCTTCGATCCCTTTAAATACCGCGTAGTTGCAGCTAAGCTGATAAAGTTGTTTTCAATTATGCTTTCAATCACGCTTTCAATTGCTTTTTATCATCTTTAGAGGTAAAATTGTTAGGTCGATTACTAATTGTAAAGACTGTTTATGTAATTACGCGTAATATCTACAAGTGTAATTCGTTAGACTGAAAATTATTTCCTTACACCTTTAAGAATTAATTTATGACATAAGTAAACCAAAATTTATAATCGTAGGTATATACATATATATATATATATATATATATATATATATGCATAGACAAATATTAAATGACATTTACAGTGGTTCATTATTGTATAGTACAATAGTATGTTATTAAGTGAAAAGTTAAGATTTCCATTGTGATTATAGAGTAGTTACATTTAATTAAGACTAGCTGAATAAAAAAAAAATTAAAAAGACCTTATACTTGCCCGATTAATAGGAGTATAATATTTTAATATTATAATCTCCGAGGTCATACAATTCTTTCTATATAACTATGTAAACCGATGTAATGTTTGCTGTTCAATTGCAAAATAAAATGAAAATATTATGAGCTTAGATCTACTTTTCAATAAGACAATTAATTAAATGAATTAAAGTGCTATTTCGAGTAATGTGAATTAATAAATTAATTATGCTTTATAAAATTACATTCTACAAATTTAATATATACGCATATGCATTAATAAATAAATTATAATTGCTTTTTATTAATAAATTACACTTTAAATTATGCTCTTCTTAATAGCCTCACAGCTTATTGCTATGTATGTTTCATATAATAATAGTTTATTAAGTCCATAAACTTCCTTAATTATTTCAATTATATTTCATTTAGCTATCAATAATCACTAAACACGATTTACACATTTCATGCATCTTCCTTAAATTTTTCTTAATTTGTTTTCTTTAATATATAAATCGACAGATCTTTCAAGAATTCAATAATCGCGATGCTTAATAATTGTTGCAAACGTCACATTTTTTTACTCTTATTTTAGATGGTAAAGTATTTATTTATAGAACACTACTTTATCCGTGGATTATTTACTTAAGAAAAATATGGTTGATAATGATTTTCATTAGTGCAAGTTTGATTATCTCTTTTTTCATATACGTAACGAATGCCATTATATCTACAACGATCTTCAATAACAATCAATTGTATTATATGAGAGCTAATGTAGGTTCAAATTAAATTTACTTACTAATTTTCACAATTGAGTAAGGAGGATTAATCAATTGAATGTAAAAGTGAAAAATTATAAGTATTTGGCAATGAATCGCGCGCAATTCTTGATATAAATAGATTAATTATATTTGTTGGGTGAAAGGTTGTTATTTATAGAGTTAAAAATATTCGGCCTTTTCAATTATTTTATAAAAAATAAAAAAAAAAAAATAAAAAAAATAAAAAAAATAACATCTTGGATCGGTATTTTAAGTTAGCAAATGAATTGTATTGCAAGGGGGAAAACTTACGTATTTGACCCCATTCCATCCTTCTAGGGAATTAGGGTTAGACAATCTTTGCAACATTTTTTTAACTTAGACCTTCGTAACCATTATGAAATATACAATTAATCACATTGTGATATTAATATTATTTTAATAAATGCTCAAAATATATAATCGGCTGCAATATATTATATAAAATTAATCTACAATCAGTTCTATTTAGCCGATATTTGTTACTTTTTACATTTCGCTGGAATTATTCACACGCTTTGTTTTATAATTAAAAATTTAATTTCTGATTAATGTGTTGTATGCATAAATCACAATAAATCATTAGCTCACATTAGATTTACAATGTTTACACAACTATTAACGTACAGAATATAACGTACAGAAGATAATAATTACACGTTACTATTTATTAAGAATTTTCGAAAGATAAAACCTTTATTACAGAGAGAAGGGGAGAGAGAGAGAGAGAGAGAGAGAGAGAGAAAAGGATTAATAATGAGAATTAATTTTGTTCGAGTTAAAAGACAAAATTTTATACTACTAAATATACACGTATTAATATCAATTTCGCTTACCCTTCATTTTCTATCTCGACCTCTCCTCCCTTCCCCCCCCCCCTCATTAATTAAACTCTATGGAAAAGAGACGATTGGTTTAAGTGAGTAAGACTGCCCGTATGTAATTCATTTAATTCTACATATTTTGCTTAATTTAACAATGGCTCATTTCATTGAAGTCATGCATTGTATGTAACATGTGCTCGAGGGAAAACGCTTTTGTAACTTAGGTGATATATCAATTTTTCAAATGTATGAATTACATATTGTTTTGCGAATACAAATTAATCTTTGCTGATTAAATTTAACAGATAATAATGGTATTTTGATGATAAATATATTAAGACACTAATCACAATGGCGTACAATTGAAATTTAAAGTACAATAAAGGCATTTTAAATAACAAATCATAAGAACGTCAGCGCTTATTTCTTACCAAATTATTACCGACACTTTGTCATTTACATGCATAAATACATAAATACACATTTTACATTTTCAATATTAAATAGATTTATTTATTCATAATTATAATATCTCTAGCGAATACTCTATTAAGTATTTTTGCCACGAGTATTTTAATGCAAGATTTTACGACCAATATTTAACGCCCGTAAGCTAATAAAAAAAAAAAAAAAAAAAAAAAAAAAAAAAAAAAAATAAGAAGAAAAGATAGTATATTATACAGTTAATATATTCTATTTATATTAAAATCAATCAATAATATAGAATAATATTTTACATAAATATAAAGCTTTAGCTACGCTTCTTTTTCTCGTTCATTTTATAGTAATTGCATCGATACGTGACTTCAGCCTTGTGTTTTTGTATTTATGAAACGTATTAACGTTTATCGCACATAGACAATGCAAAGACAAGTATTTCGAACAAAATTCGACGATATGTTTCATTTGCCTTAGTAACGCGTCGGCTAATTGGCCCCTAATCGAGCGCTTGATTTTTGAATTCCAAAGAACTTTGGCTCATTAGCAATATACATATACATATACACACGCACGCACGCACGCATGTAATATATATATATATATATATATATATATATATATATATATATATATATATTACATATAGATAAGAAATTTAGTGAAAAATAACATCTCTAAAAGAAGTGCATATGCTAATAGAATATTCGTAGGGTTTAGATATTCATAAACACCATAATGTTCCAAGTACATTGATCCGCGTCCAATGTATCCCCACTAATTTTATTAATCGTCGTCCGCCATCGGACCTTACGGAATCCAGCCTCGGCGGACAGGAGTTCGATCACGAATGAATCTGCCGACGTGCGGATGACGGCGGGAAATTGGATCGTGACCCTGGTCGGGTATTCAACGGCGTAATTGCGAGCTCGCCGGGGTGGGTGATGGGGGAGAGGATATTGAGTACCGCCGGATAAGGGGGATAAAGCTCGATACCGATGAATCTCTTTAACGATGGATTCTTTGGCTTACATCTACGACGGAGAAGGATAAGCATTGGCTCTTACGCGATAATGTTTCGTCGTCCGGTAAGGATTGTCTTGGCGTTGCACCAGCAATTGACAATTCAATATAGAGTTTACTGGATCTGGTCAGTATTTTTAATTTCTCGCAATTCGTCCACTATACAGTATTATATATAGTAAGGTTAGTAAGGTTACCATAATAACAATAATATAGAGAAATATTGTCAAACACTATTAAACATTATTAAAATATAATGTCGAGCGACATAATTGGAGCTTACGAATAAACTCATTTATAAGAATTGACATTTTTAAACGTCTTTATATTATCA